TTATGGCGTTAAAAATAAAACTTTAAGTTGGTTTAAAAACTACTTTAATGACAGACACCAGTGTGTTATTATAGATAAAAAAAGCAACTCGAATTTACTGAAAACAAAATGTGGTGTACCCCAAGGGTCCATTCTTGCTCCTCTTTTGTTTATTATTTACATAAACGATCTCCCAAATGCCTCTAATATTTTCAAAACTATAATGTTTGCCGATGATACAAACTTATTTTACTCTTCAAAGTCTATTGAAGACTTGTTTAAAAAAAACAAATAATAAACTAAAAAAAATTAATATATGATTTAAATCAAACAAACTATCACTCAATATAGATAAAACTAAATATATTCTATTCCACTCTACTCAACAAATTAAAAAGCTTCCCCTTAACCTACCAACAATTAATATAGAAAATATAATCTTCGAAAGAGCTCAAAATACAAAATTTTTAGGTGTTCTAATTGATGAACACATCTCTTGGAAGCCCCACATCAACTATATAAATTTAAAAATATCAAAGAACATAGGTTTACTTTATAAGGCAAGAGCTTTCTTGACACAAAAAAGTCTAATACTCGTTTATTTTTCATTCATACATAGCTACCTTATGTATGCCAATATAGCATGGGGCAGTACCCACATAACTAAATTAAAACCGCTTTATCTGCGTCAAAAGCACGCTTCAAGACTAGTGTTCAACAAAAACAAACTTACTCATGCTCAACCCCTACTGGAGCAAATGAACGCTTTAAATATTCTTTAAATTAATATTTATCAAAATATACTTTTCATGTTTAAATATAAACTAAGTCTGGTTCCAGAACAATTTACAGCACACTTTTTTGAAAACAACGTAAACAAATACAATACAACAGCAACGGAAAACTTTAAGATACCCTTTGAAAATACTAAACTCTCAAAATTTTCAATAAAACATCGTGGTCCCTATTTATTTAAAAAAATAATTTCTAGAAACGAATCGCTAATAAATTTAAACAACGAACAGTCCCTGAAAACAAAGTTAAAATCTACAATAATCAAGTTAAACAACTACAAGGAGTTTTTTTAAACTCCAATTGAAAAATAAATCTTCTATATTCTTTCAATTAAAATATTTTTCAATTAAAAATATTTTAATTGAAAGAATATAGAAGATTTATTTCTTGGGTAATTTTTACGTTCACGTTATTCTATTGTGTACTTTGTATTTATTTTTATCATGTCTCAAAGTTGAATGTAACAATATTTTAGGTTTATCCCTTATTTATTTTGGACTTTATGTTTACGATATTTATATTAGTATATCTTTATTCGCCAATCGGTGATTAACCAATTGTAAATACTTTGTAGTTGTAAAATAAACATGTTAAAAAAAAAAGATGTATAGATTCGTTGTTGTAATTTATTATTTGTAAATCGTCACAAATAATATGTTAATTGTAAGGCAATTTTTATATATCTAAAATTGTATATTTTAACTTGATATATATATATATATATATATATATATATATATATATATATATATATATATATATATATATATATATATATATATATATATATATATATATATATATATATATATATATATATATATATATATATATATATATATATAACAAGTCCAATGAATTGGAAAAGTGACAGTAAAAAGTCATTGCTAGAATAAATATAATGTTAATATATAGGTAATAGTCAATTTTTTCTTCATCGGCTTTAATGACTGCATGATATCATTTAAGCATTGAATCAATCAAGATCTTAATAACTATGTTATAAAATTTGCAGCCCCCTCAAACTGAGGGGGTTCAAACCTTTTAGGGTCATAGTTTTTGAATGCTAAAAGATTATTATGTGAATTTTCAAATTTAGCGATAAATATATCCTTGGTTGAGAACAGAAGAAAAAATATTTTATCAAGTTGTTGCTCTCACGTTTGGGGCTGATGTAGCTAAAATTTTAGGGCTTTTTGTTCCCAGACTCTAATCATCGCAATTTTTTGAAAAGCATCCTTATTTGATATAAGTATAAACATATAAATTTTTGGAGTTTGCTCCATGTCTGCAAGTTAGGTATATCAAACATCAAAAAATGCTGCATCCGCGCCTGGCTTCTTTAGTTTAAACTGTACATCAAGGAGTTACCCGCCGTCCGGGGCTTTCCGACTTTCCCCTAATCACAACTTTTTCACTCTTTGATGCAAATTTAATTGAAACAAATTTGCTATTTTTATTTATATTTAATAACCCTTTGTTAAGGGTATACTTTTTAAACAGCAATAAATTTAATAATAAATTTTTTACTAAATATTTTACAAATTTAGCCAAACCTTGCTAAAAAAATCATATCCACGCCAAATTCATTTATAATATATCTTAAATCCTTAAATCAATAAAAAAAGTAACATATCGTTATAAAGGAGAACTAAAAAAAATATGTAGAGTACGCTTTAAAAATCTGGAGGATTAAAAAAAATATGTAGAGTACCGCATGGGTCAATTCTTGGGTTGCTCCTGTTTTTAATTTATGCAAATGATTTATATAAAGCTAAACTCAATAATGTTTGCTTCTGAAAAGAGTTTTGTATCAAAAAATGTCAATCAAGTTTAAAGATAAAAAATATTCTCACTCAATATAAATAAACTACACTTTATTTCTTAAAAAATTACAAAAAGAAAATCTGTCTTTAAAAATCTTCTTCTATATGATATCCTAATTGCAAAAAATGAGCTTATTGAATTTTTAGGAATTTTCATTGATGAAAATTTATATTGGCTTCCCTACATAAACTATATGCAACTTAAAACGACTAAAAGACTTGGTTCGGTGAACTGAAAACGTTTACAAGTAACTTTGTAAAGTCTTAAACTAATATACTTTGGTTTAATAGGTTGTTATATTTACTATTCCAATATTGCATGGGCTTGTAGTCAACCAAAAAATACTTAAAAAAATATTTTTCTACAAATATGTGCGCATACACTTGCAAAATGGAATATACAAATATGAACATGAAAAACTATTTATGAAAGACATGCAAACAATAAATATTTATCAATACCTAGTTTTTATGTATAAATACCATAAATAAACAGTTTAGGTTCCGAAAAATTTTAATGAAATATTGCGAAATAATGTGAGCATAAAGTATTTTCAAAGAGTAAACGAATGGAATACTTTTAAAATGCTGAGAATTAATAGCAAGTATTCTGCAATATGGAATAGCAAGCCGAGGACAAAAACTATGAAAAATGGTAAAGTCGGTAAATGTAATGGTAAATTCCTACAAGTTTTTAAAAAAAGTTCTTATTAAAAATTCAATCTTCATTAGTATCGAATTATTTAATTCTATTTTTTTCATTTAATGGAGAATGTCAATAAAATTGAATGAGGGTACTAAATATATATAGATATTATTAGTTACTTTTCGTAATTTTATGTATATGCTTATGAAGGCTTTTATCATTTATAATATATCGGAGTTGTACATTGCAATTTTAACCATTTTATTTTAATGTGTGTGTTCAGAATTCAAAAATTATTAAATTTATCTGAAGGTGAGCAACTTTTTTAATTTTATTGTTTGAAATTTCAATAATTAAAACCTATTTATTGGCATCAGAAATAATCATTTAACCCCTTGTAAAGTATAATAAGCTCTTATAACATAAATACGAGCGCCTCTGCGATATTTAATTGGTTTTGGTGCAAATAAATTAAGTTAAAACTCTGGAGTTCGAATTAATGAATTTATGTTATCTAATATTTCTGAAGAATATTCTCCATTAAGTTTGTTCGAATTTTTTCGCCCGGAGCAGCTCTTTGAACATGAGAAAAAAGTGTCAAATAAAAGTCAGGTGTTTTCAAGTTAAATAAGAAAACAAACTGTACTGCGCAAGTATTTCACACGGCAAAAAAATTTATTTTGGTAAAAGTTAGAATAGAATAGAATAAAGATGACGTTGTAACTCATATGAGTTAAAACTGAAAATACGTAGAATTTCAGTTTATAACAACCAAAAAAGTTAACTACGATTAAAACAATATACAAGATCTGAGATTTAAAGTTTAAAATCTAAAATATTTATCAATGTGGTTCTTATATTGAGCAACGTTTGTTGACTCAATAATTTCTAGTGGTAGTACATTCCAGTCATTTACAACTCTATTAGAGAAAAAATTGTTTCTGATTGTGTTAAACTTGCAGTTATTGTATGTTTTTATTGTTAAACTTGCAGTTATTGTATGTTTTTATTGTTAAACTTGCAGTTATTGCATGTTTTTATTGTTAAACTTGCAGTTATTGCATGTTTTTATTGTTAAACTTGCAGCTATTGTATGTTTTTATTGTTAAACTTGCAGTTATTGTATGTTTTTATTGTTAAACTTGCAGTTATTGCATGTTTTTATTGTTAAACTTGCAGCTATTGTATGTTTTTATTGTTAAACTTGCAGTTATTGCATGTTTTTATTGTTAAACTTGCAGTTATTGCATGTTTTTATTGTTAAACTTGCAGTTATTGCATGTTTTTATTGTTAAACTTGCAGTTATTGTATGTTTTTATTGTTAAACTTGCAGTTATTGTATGTTTTTATTGTTAAACTTGCAGTTATTGTATGTTTTTATTGTTAAACTTGCAGTTATTGTATGTTTTTATTGTTAAACTTGCAGTTATTGTATGTTTTTATTGTTAAACTTGCAGTTATTGTATGTTTTTATTGTTAAACTTGCAGTTATTGTATGTTTTTATTGTTAAACTTGCAGTTATAGTATGTTTTTATTGACTATTTGTAAAAGATTTTAGTTATTTTTAAATCTTGAACCAAAAATCTGCTTCGATGAACCAAAAATTTGCTTCGATGAACCAAAAATCTGCTTCTATGAATACACTCTAGAAATTACTTATAACAAAGCTTACCATTATTCATGGGAACCCTCAAAATGTCTACAACAACGAAAAGAACAAAAATCTGGGAAATTTAAGAGAATATCATTCCCATTAAGTTTTATTTTTAATTAAAAAATGTTTATATGTATTTAAAAATACCATTGAAACTATTTTGTAATTATGATAAATATTTTGTAAAAATATGCATAGAAAAACATTAGTTCTCAAATAGATCATTTAAAGATGTCTGGTTTTCAAATTCATTTTTATCATCACAACTGTAAGTTGAATTTGATCCCATAAATGGATCTTTTCTACATTTATAACTTGTAGCTAAAAAATCTGTTTCAATAGTTTCTCCATGAGTTTGATCGGAAAACTTAATCACATTTTTGAATTTATCTCCCTCATAAGTTACGTAAATAGATTTGTCAGTATTTTGCAAATTGTAATTATTTTCTACGTTTTCAAGCGTTGTTAATGCAAAAAAATTTGAAGGCAACATACTTAATGGTTCTTCTAGTTTAGAATTGTTTGGATTACTGTCAGAAATTAATCTAATTTTTCCACTATCAGACATATCTATTGTTGTGGGGTGCAAAAAATCTTGAGATGAACTATACAAATAATGACTGGTTTTTTGGCTACTTATAAACTCTGCAGTTATTTCACCAACTGTCTTATGAATTAAAAATGGTTTTTCCAGATTGCTTTTTTCATTCTCTTTTGGTAGTAAAAGATGATTGAGGCCTAAAGATGATCGAGGTTCTTTAGATAATACTTCAAAAGATGATCGAAGTTTAGATTGTAAGTGGTTACATTCGTTAAAGTTTACATTTTCTTCTTCTTTAACATCGTTTATATTAAAAAACTGTGAAATGTACTTTCTTGTTCTCCATGACAAAATAAATCGGTATGAGTACCTTCGACCGTGTACCTAAATTGTAAAATAAGAATTAGCAACTGCTTCTACTTTTGTGAATTAATTTATCTTGCAATTAAGTTAAAGTTATTAATTAAATTTCAATTAATCTATTTTAATTATTAAATAAATATAATAATTATATTAAAACAGTCTGATTTTAGTTCAATTATAAATTATAATTTCAGTTAAATTATAAAATATAGACGAACAAATCATGAAAATTTCCATCATAGAGTTTATCATTTTGACCATGAAATATTTTAGATTCAGAAAATAAAGTTCTAGATGTCTATATAGTCTGCAATTGTAAAAGGTTGTCTCTATATACCAAGAACTTAAAAAATAATAATAATAATAATAAAAAGTAAGTAAATATTTATTAATGCTTTATAAACTCAAACCTTTTCAATAATTTTTTTTCCATAGTAGTAACGCAATGCTCGACTAAATTTTTCGTAAGTCATATCCGATTTATTTTTTACTGAACCCCACAAATCAGCAACTCCATTGGTATCGGTTATACAAAACTCTAAAGGGTATTCTTTATTCCAATATACATATCTTGAAGTTATGTCTCGATTTAAAAGATGTAACAAAAACTTCCACAACGGAACTCTTTTACGGTGTTCTAAAAATTTACCATTCAACTACAACCAGGTACAAAAAATTTTCGACTTAGCATAATAATTTTCATTTACTCGATTAACTACTCTATTTTGAATACATTTTTAATAGTCTCTCACGTTAGTGTGAATAGACTCGCTCGATTAAAAAAAAAAATTCTAAAGTGCATTTAGACTATATTTTAATATAGTCTATTTGCACTTTAAAAAAAAACTTTGATTAGATTTTTTTCATGATGAAAGTTAACAAAAAATAATAATTTATAACTTTAGCCATGTATTTTGAAAGCAATTTATTCTAAAGTAATAATAAAAATTGAAATTACTTAAATATAATCAAATTTTCATTCTTAAGAAAAAATAATGAGCCAGTAGATAAAATAAACTTTGAGAAGTATTTTTTTAATAAAAGATTGCCTGCCCTACCTAAAACCTTCGTCATTGTATTTACACTACACTGTGTCTATCTCTAAATAACTGTACACAGTGTGTAAACATATATATATATATATATATATATATATATATATATATATATATATATATATATATATATATATATAAATATATATATATATATATATATATATGTATATATGTATATATATATATATATATATATATATATATATATATATATATATATATATATATATATATATATATATATATATATATATATATATATATATATGTATATATATGTATATATATATATATATATATAAAAATAGATTGCAGCATTTTTTGATGTTTAGAACAAAAAAGCCCTTAAATTTTTTTGTAACAACTACCCCAAACAAGCAAAAAGTTGTTAAAAGTTAAAATAGTTTTCATGTGTCCGTGAAATTATCTATTACTGTTTACTATAAATAACATTTAAAATATTAATGTTTTCACTGTTAAGGAAACGTAGTATTATATTGTCCTAACTTTCCGTAAGAATGTGAAACCACTAATAAAACCATGCGATATTTAAATTTGTTTTTAAAACATCAAAAAACACGTGTTACTTTCGAGTAAATCTGCCTGTAATATACACGTGTTTTTGGTTTACGCAAGGATCGTGACAAACACGTGTCTATACAGGTTTTAGGGTGGAATTCAAGAAGCGAACTTGAGTCAAGCTCAACTTGAACTTTACATTGCATCTAATAGCGACAAAGTATGAGTTTTCCCCTCAAAAATACTCTGCCGTTATTGGTTACAAAGTAAAGTTCAAGTCGAACTTGACTCAAGTTTGCTTCTTGCATTCCACCCTTAATTGCAAAACAGAAACTAGATGTGCCAGTTGGGTAGTGTTACTGAAGAGTTTGTTTGAAAGCAAAAGCTAGCTTTACTTTTAAAGCGCAGAACTAGCCAAATTAGTTCATGCGTTATTCTTTTTAATAAGTATAAACTTAAAATCAAAAATGTAAGTCAAAAGTTTAAATTTATATCTATCTCTTCAAGGGATGCGGAGTCTTTAAATCTCTGATTTTTGTGTCAAGGAGCTTAAAAATATTGGATGACTTATAACTTGGAGCATAAAATCCTGGAGCATAAAATTTTGCAATACTACTAATTCTATATATTTTAAAATAATTGAGTAACTTACGTTTAGTATTGGAAGTTGCGCAGTAGTTCTCATACTCATCGACTCTAAAATATTGTAAAATAAAATATGTTACAGAAAGATTTATTATATTATATAATGCAAATAGTATAAAATGTAATCATAAATTTAAGTGTAAAAATTTCTGAAAAAATGTTTTTAGAATTTTCTGTTAAAGTAATTTATAATTTAAAAAATAGATTTTCTTTCTAATTCTATTAAAGGAGTTTTCTCTTAAAGGAGTTTATAATATAAAAATATATTTTATTTCTTTTGTTATTACCGGGGTTGTGCAATCTCCAAACTTAGGTATATTTATGATTATGTCAAATGATGCTTTGCAAAAAAATTGCGGTTATTAGAGCTTTTATTTTGGCATCCCATATGTAAAAATATAAATTTTTAGGATTGTAAAATCAAAGAAAAAAATACAAGTTTAATACAACAAGTTTTATTTTATTTATTAAGTTACAATATATTATTTATTAAGTTACAATATATTATTTATTAAGTTACAAGTTTAATAAAAAAAACAAAACAAGTTTATACAAGTAGAAGTTTAACTTCTTTGGAAGAAGTCATTCCAATTTCTTTCTGCTTCAATGCAAGCTGGCCACTGGATCCGCTGAACTACACAGAGGTCTTCTCATTAAATTCAGGTTTTTGTTCTATTCTGTAAACTTGATGCGTAAATAATTCTTTGTTTTTACATCTTAGTTTCTGCTTTTCAGTGCTTCTTCAAAAAGCATACTAATAGATAATCTTTTGTTACAAACTACCTCGTGAGAGTGTATTTACAAAATTTGTGTAACTAGATGTTTTTATGAGAAAAACAACACACTTAGCTAAATTCGAAAAGTGTGTTGTTTTTCCATGAATAACATCTAGTTTATTTATTTTACTCAAAATCGTTCGATTAACAGAGCAACACAAAATTGAATCAATTAATCAACTGATTCAAAATTGAATCAGCTACATCACTGTTGCTACTTTGCCGTCCACCACGGTTATCCATCTAGCAATTTGTTTCTAGTTGACGTTCAATTAAAAAAATTTCAACTTGAGTGGGGTAAATTTCATGTCCTTTGATATAGTTCAACTCCTCAACAAGAACTTCTTTGTTCTCTTTAACATATCTAAATTGTATAGGTATGCAGTAAAACGATGAAGGTTTCTCATTAATTCATAAAGTAAAACTTCTTGGTAGGGAAGCCAGAGTAGGGACATCCTCATGAGGGGTTCAAGAGTAGGGACATCCCCTAAAATTTATAAATATTTATGATCATGTAAGTCATGGTACTTGAATATTTGCGTACACTATTTTTATAGTCTAGTTTTTCAAAAGAAAAGTCGACAGTCTATAAAATCTATAATTTAATACTCTTAAGGTTGAATAATTTTATACGATTGTAAAACCATTCTTATTGAAAAGGACGGTAGAAAATGAAAAAAATTTAAATATTGGTGACTACAGTATTATATTTACATTACATAAATATATTATTGATTAAATTATAAGAATTAATGCAGGTTTAATATTCTCCTCAGACTTGACATCGACTTGACATTCTTCAGTTCTGGAACTTAGCATAAAACTGCCTAGCTTTTCTCTTTCCGTTTCTTACTTAGGTTGTTCATAAAATATTTTTTCTTCTCATCCGCTATATTCAAACCTTTAAAAATATTATCAACCTCGGTATCTATTATACTTTGAATATTTATTCCATTAGGTAGGTATGCGGAAATAGCCGTTTTACGGAATAGAATTTTGTGCTAAAATTCTGTGCCACGTTTTTTGAATTTTTTCTGAGGTAGCGTCAGACAAACGTTTTGTTGTGGTCTTTCTTTTTAGAAAAGTATATCAACATAGATTATTTTTGAAAAGAAGAGACTTAGATCTATATTTTTATGAATCAATTATGTATGGATGATTTACTTTTTGTTGACTTTATAGATATTGAAAATTTACTTGATGTTGTCACGTGAAATTTGTATTGATGGAATGCTGAGACATTTTGCAAAACTACTGAGACATTTTTTTACATCTTTTATTTATTCATCTGCCAAATTTCAAGAAAAAATAATATGTAGCAGATAATTTAAAAAGTGTAGCAGTTTTGGTACCTAAATTTTGTTTTCACAAATTCGCGATGGGTGTTGTTGTGGTTGGGGGAGAAAGTCGGAATCTACATACTATGTATATAACAATAACAGTAATAATAATACTGTCATTATTATTGTTGACGTTATTTTAATAATTTCATTGTTTTATTTTTATTATTCAATCATAATTTATGTATATAATATAAATACACTATATTATGGTTTATTCTTTAATATTCTTTTAGATAAAATAATATTCTTTTATATTCTTTTATATTCTTAATATATTCTTTCATATTCTTCATATTCTTTTAGATAAAATTTTATATTCTTTTATATTCCTAATAATATTCTTTTATATTCTTAATATTCTTTTAGATAAAAGCAGATATTTGTTTAACAATCATTGTTAATCTCATCAATCAATCTCAGATTGATTTTTGTAAACAAAAAATTCATTTTTGTAAACAAAACAATCTCAGAAAGATTTTGAAAATCTTTGGATATTACCATATCTAGTAAGGTATTTATGACTATAATCGTGACATTTTTATTTAAAAATTTTTGTAGTTTTTCTGTTTCAAGCAAGGAATTTAAAAAAAAATGTCTTTATAATTCCTGTTATGTCTGAAACTGAAAAGTGTTTTCCTTTAAACATTAGGATAAAAATTTTAGCATGTTATCAAATGTGCTAACAGGTAATATTCCATTTTTGTTAGAGGAAATTATGCAGTATTTTAGTGTGGTTATTAATAATGTACCCCATCACAGTACTGTTGAGCAAATGGATCATGAATTAAGAAGTATATCAGAATTACAAGCAGCAGAATGGGCTATCAATAATTCTCAGCTTACGTAGTAAGTGAGAATTATTGATACCCCACCTTACGTCCAAAGATAAATGCCTTGTTATTGCTCTGGATATCTTACATCCAAAGATAAATGCCTTGTTATTGCTCAAAATATCAGACAGAGTTGCAGTTAACCATCTAACCATAAGCAAAGTTAGTGCAACTTGGGGTAAAACTCTGAATTAATTGAATTTTTATTTGCACCCTCTTGATACAATTGCTACTGAATGTCGCTCAGCATTGATGTGTCTAGAGACAGAAAAGTTGAATTATTTGGCAATGATTATTTAGCTGTCAAAATTGATTTGGCTATGAATAAGATGAGGTTTAAAGACGGTGAAAGCGATCCAGAGGGATTTGTTACTTTTTAAGACCACAAAAAACTACGTAGAAATCGAGGAAACCGCCTTCATATTTTCTTTTTAATACTTGTCATATATTTATTAAACACTATACCAATTTTCTAAATTTTCTGATCACTAGAACAGTCAAATGTGGCAGTTTGCAAGCAGCTCTGCAAGAAGCATTTTGTAATGCTACCACTTTAAAAAAATGTGTGTGCTTGGTGTATTTGGGAAACTGCTAAGTGGTCCGTGGATGACAAAGTTTTATGTATCAGCTGAGGATGCAAATTTTGATCATCTCACCAGTATTCAGATTGTAAAAAACATTTTGGAAACAGTTAATGTTTGCAAATCTAATCCGGCTGCACTGTTTTGCAGAGCAACAGATTTTTTACTTCCCTCAAATGTTTTTGAACCAATGACATATTAATGCTGCATTGATGACCAGGTTATTAACATGACTTCAGCTTGTCTTAATGCAGTAAAAGATGTATTGATTAGACAATGTAAAAGGTACTTCTCCTTTTTCATTACAGAGACACTCAAGCAGGAAACAGCTAGTGCAAGGTTTCACAATATAGATAGTGAAGAGTTAATTGGTATGTTTAGTGAATCTAAAGGAAGATTCCCTAATACAACAATTTTATATAATTCTTGAATGTAAAGGAAGAATAATGCAATATTTCTTGCAAAATAAGATGAAAAAAGAATAGGACTATTTATTATCTTAATAGTTTAGATTACTAACTAAGTAAGAAAATGTAATTAACGGTCCATTTTCTACATCATGCTCAAATTCGATCTGTATTATATAAGAGACAGACATGCAAGCATCAAATGTTGGATGAACAAGATAAAAAGAAGTTATAACAAAAACTTAAGTTAATGACTTTCAGCCAGATTAAGAATTTTTATAAACAATTGTCTACAAAGCAACTGGATGATTTAGATGATGTTATGTCTGACAGAATTGTTAGTAGAAAACTATATCATGAATGGTATGATATTGAACAATCTAAGTATACGATGGCAGAGTATAAAAAGTAAAAAAAAAAGATTGCATGACAAAATTTACACTATCTCTTACTGGAAAAAAGATGAATCTGATTCTGGAGCTGGTGATTATTGCATGAAAAAATTCCAGCTGGCCTCAGATGTTGTATCAGGAGAATTTTTTTTTAATGTTAATGTGTATTATTTGTTTTTAATGTTAATATGTATTGTTTTCATAATTAAAAGGTAAGTCCAAAATAGATACTGCAAATGTTAGAACTTGAAAAGTCTTAATATTTGAAAAGTATCGCAAGTGTTGTAACTTTTAAAATTGGTACAGAAGTGTTGTGACTTGCACAAATTATTGATAGACAGCTCTGGCTTACCTTCTTGTGATGCCTATTGTTAAAAAATGAATAATATTTTGTTTCATTAGTGGAATTTCAAATTGTTTACTAAAAGCCAAGATACTAATTAATTACAATGGGTATTTTGTTTACACTAAATTACATAATTTTAAGTATTGTATTTTTAAAATATTTTACATGTTTTTTAGGTTAGATGTTAAAGAATCAAACAGCCTTTTGCCTAAGAATTTAAATACTCTTACACATCTTGTATTAAAAATTAAAGTGTTAAAATTTTTGTTTATTTTTAACAATATTTTTCAATTTAAAGTTAAAAAAAATTTTTTAGATTGGAGGGGCACTTTCTTTTTCCAATGTGAAACTGGATAAACATTTGCTTTTTGTAAAG